TAGTTCAGTTCTAGTTCAGTTCTAGTTCAGTTCTAGTTCAGTTCTAGTTCAGTTCTAGTTCAGTTCTAGTTCAGTTCTAGTTCAGTTCTAGTTCAGTTCTAGTTCAGTTCTAGTTCAGTTCTAGTTCAGTTCTAGTTCAGTTCTAGTTCAGTTCTAGTTCAGTTCTAGTTCAGTTCTAGTTCAGTTCTAGTTCAGTTCTAGTTCAGTTCTAGTTCAGTTCTAGTTCAGTTCTAGTTCAGTTCTAGTTCAGTTCTAGTTCAGTTCTAGTTCAGTTCTAGTTCAGTTCTAGTTCAGTTCTAGTTCAGTTCTAGTTCAGTTCTAGTTCAGTTCTAGTTCAGTTCTAGTTCAGTTCTAGTTCAGTTCTAGTTCAGTTCTAGTTCAGTTCTAGTTCAGTTCTAGTTCAGTTCTAGTTCAGTTCTAGTTCAGTTCTAGTTCAGTCTAGTTCAGTTCTAGTTCAGTTCTATTTCATTCTAATTCAGTTTTTCTAGTTCAGTTCTAGTTCAGTTCTAGTTCATTTCTAGTTCATTTCGAGTTTCAGTTGCTAGTTAGTTCAGTTCCTAGTTCAGATTCTAGTTCAGTTTCTAGTTCAGTTTCTAGTTCAGGTCTAGTTCAGTTCTAGTTTCAGTTCTAGTTCGTTCTAGTTTCAGTTCTAGTTCAGTTCTAGTTCAGTTCTAGTTCAGAGTTTTCGAGTCAGTTTCTAGTTCAGTTCTAGTTCAGTTCTAGTTCAGTTCCTAGTTCAGTTTCTACTCAACTTTTATTTAACACGCGTTTCTTATTTTCCCCTATTTCAGGGCGATGACAAATCCGACTTTTTATTTGCCAACAATCCCTTTTCCTGGACCGGCGAAAAATGGAAGGAAAGACGAGCTGAAATTACACCAGGGCTCACCATCAGCCGAGTAAGTATAACAAATTAGATATAAAAAAGAAACGCAATACTAAAAAGCTTTCATTAAGGTAAAAACTGTATATCCCATCACCAAAAGAGTTTGTAAAAATATGACCAAATATATAGAAGAACAAATAAAAATCGGTGCCAAAGAGGGAATCGAAGCTAAAGATGTAAGTATTAGCAAACATTTAAAATAAATTCTAAATTAAATTAATGTTTCCATTTATCTAATCATAGCTCAGTTTACGCTTCACATCGGAAGTAGTTACCGATTGTGTTTTGGGTCTAGAGGCTAAAAGTTTTGAACCAAAACCTTCACCCATTATGACAATGATTACCCAAATATTTGAACAGAACCTAATTTTTATATTCTACACTATATTGTTGGGTTTATTCCCCTCACTAAGTAATTACTTTAAAATACGTTTCTTTCCCAAAAAATCCGAAGAGTTTTTCATCAAGATTATGCAAGATTCTATAGAAATGAGAAAATCACAAAAGAAACAAGGTGTCAATGAAGATCGTATAGATTTTATGAATTATATTTTACAGCTGCAAGAGAAAAAGAATCTGGCGACTATAGATTTGGCCGCTCACACTATGACATTTTTATCGGATGGTTTTGAGACAACCGGTTCGGTTTTATCACATACATTATTGTTGGTAAGTTTGGATGTTATTTTTTTTTTTTAAAGTTTACTTTACTAATGAGGTTTATTGGAAACAAAAAAAAACTTAGTTGGGCCGTGATTTGGAAAGACAGCAGAAATTGCGCCAGGAAATTTTAGATACTATAGGTGTTAATGGTGATTTTGATAAAATGATGGAATTGCCTTACTTAGATGCTTGCATTCATGGTAATTGATATTTAAAGTTGAAATTGTTTTATAAGAAATTTTATTTTTGTAAGTGTTTACAGAATCCATACGTCTGTTCCCTCCCGGTTTCTTTTCCAATAAACTTTGCACCGAACCTATTGAGTTGACCAATAAAAATGGCAAATCTTTAGTTGTGCCCAAGAATACTGTGGTAGTTTTACCTTTACATGCTGTAATGGTAGATGGCGATTATTATACAAATCCCAATGATTTTGAACCTGAACGTTTTCTTGAGGAAAATGGTGGCCTTAAGAAATATAAAGATTTGGGTGTTTATTATGGTTTTGGTGAAGGACCTAGAGCTTGTTTAGGTATTTTGCAGATATTTTTAGTTTATTATTATGTTTTTATATTTATTTCTTTAACAAGGTATGCGTTTTGCTTTGGCCCAACTTAAGAGTGCTTTAGTTGAAATTATACGCCAGTTTGAAGTAAGTGTTAATCCGAAAACCCGCAAAGATAATGAATTGGATCCCAAATATTTCTTATCACGTTTAAATGGTGGCATTTGGTTGGATTTTAAAAAAATTTAATAGATAATAACAATATAATGTTAAACATAAAAATTAATAACAATTTATTATTGTATTAAATTCCCTAATATAAAGTTTATGACCCTAACTCAAATCCCTATTGGTTAAAATAGCTTTTTTTTGTAAGTGATTTCTTTTGTTCTTATCTATTTATACACACAATAATTTTCTCACAAATATAATATTTATTTAAATTTCTATTCTATATTTGGTGTACATAAACAAAATATGCTATATTTCTTAAAAGTTCAATTGTTTAATTGAAAATAATTGCTGTAATAACTTTTAAATCTAAAAGCTTTTTCTAAAAAAAGCTTTCATACAAGACTCAAATTTATGCTGGGTACTCAATTTCAAAAGTATATTTAAACTCGTAAAGAACGGTTGTCGCTATTGTCCCATAGCCTAAGAAGTGTTTTAGTTTGAAAGAAAAAAAGGAAGCATTTCCAAAATGCTCCTTACTATACTAACAGTGATCTTGGGTCTAGTCCTATTATTTTATATATTTCTAACCTGGAACTTTAGCTATTGGAAAAAACGTGGCATTAAAGGTCCAACGCCGAAACCTTTTGTGGGTAATTTCCCCAGTGTTTTTACACAAAAAAGACATTTAGCCGAGGATATTAAAGAAATTTATGAGTATGTTGTAATTTTAAAATTAATAAATTTTATTTATTAGTTTTCCACTTCAAGTACATTGTGTAATGTTGTATCTTTTCTATAGATCTTATAAAAATACCGATAATTTTGTTGGTGTTTTCAATTGCCGTTCTCCTCAATTGCTTATTACTAATGCGGAATTGGTTCGTCGTATTTTAGCTACCGATTTTAAACATTTTCATGACAATGAAGCTTCAACATTTGTAAGTATATGTTATTTGAATGTAAATTAATTGAAATATTTCCTATTGTATTCTATTGACACCTGTTTAAGCTAAGAAAACACAAATAGAATTGACCACACCTTGATTATCAATGAAACTTTGTAAATTGGAAGGTTCGCAAGGATATTGTAAGAATGCAAATCTTATTTTTTCGCAACGCTTCTGGGATAAGTTAGTTGTTGTTCTTTCAAAATATCTGCTCAGAGAGTAGTTGTAAGGGATCAATTGTAAAGCTGGTAGAATTTTATATTCACTCTCACCTGAGTTGATATATTCCAGATATGATGAAAACAAAGTCGCTGTTATGCTTCTCCGATTGATATATCTTCCGAGTGAGAGTGAATATCCGGATGATATCAATGATATCAATCAATTGTCGTTAAAGTATAGAAACACAACATCGAGAGTATTTTGTTTTTCATTAAGACCTAGACCGATAATTCTCGAATATAAGTAAAATTGATCCGTCTAGACCCCTGATCGGCAAAGAGCTTTGTTAAGAGCTTTCTTGCACTCTTAATTTCTCACGCATGTATGCTTACACATGTATAAAGAACTGTAAAAACCAGTAAGAGATCTTATTTTTTACTCTCTGCCCATGTAGGGTCTAGACCATTTAATCATTGACAGATACACATTTCAAAAACGTTTGCAAATTATAAAATTTCTTATGAAAGTTTAAGTTGTGTCGCGATACAACAAAGTGGAAGAATGTAACTCCTTTAACCCCTTCCGACTTTTTTTCTTTGGCGTTATAATAAGCCAACAATGTTAGAAAGCAATATTCGACATATTCGCGTGTTTGAATCGTAGAAAAATTGAGTTTAGCCTATTTACTCGTATCACCCTCGTTTGACAGACATTTGAATGATATCGCTCAAAATAAAGCTAAAGCCATATTCTGTATGAACAATGAAACCATTTTATATTAAATTAATTAGCGTGCTGATAGGACGCTAATTAATTTAATATAAAATGCGTTTAGAGTATTTCTGTACGAAGGACCACCGAGCTTTGTCTTCCACTAATAGTACAGTTTTCTATACGATCAATGACTCGGACAATATTGTGAATGTGTTAATCGTTTCTGGATTAGTGGAATAGCATCGGTCTTTGACAGCACAGAATAAAATTGTGGACATTTAAGTCAAATGTTGAAGGGGGCTTGGTATAGGGGCTATGGTGAAATAAGACCCTATAATTATAAAATTCATGAGGGTCATCAAGGCTAGTATAGAACTTGATTTTACAGCTTTTTCACGAGATACGAGTATATTAAACATAATTATGAACTTAAGAGCCCTATTCGACGGGTTCAATTGTATGGGGACTAGGTGAAATAATGGACCGATGTTAACCATTTTCTATAGCTTTGAGATATTCTATTGTCAGACGGCTGATAACACAATTAACGAACTTATTGCACAAAAGATCAAATGTTTGATGAGCTGCATGAATGAAACCTAATATTATTTCGTAATCATGGCTCTAAATTTTCGGTAAAAATGGGCTAATAATAACACCACTCCAAAATGCACACCAAACTATCACACTCTGCGAATTCATTGGCTTCTTGACAACGACGTGCGGGTTTTTCGATCCCGATGAAAATGCGTTACGACAGAAAATGAGATTCGATTGGACCCTATGTAAGGTCCAAACTGAGAAGCCGAAACAAAGTCGTTTAACTTATAGTGCTGAGTCGATAGGATCTTGTAAGGGCATAATTTGAAAACTTTTTGGAAAATTCCCATCATGAAAGTGCTTAAAAAGCCGACATGTTGCGGTCGAGGGAGTTGCCCTGGTATTAAGTTGCACGCTTTCGGTCACAGTTACCAAATTGTCGTCAGTATGCACCGTACGACGGTGGGTATCATGAGTTGCACAAACACATTAAACAAACTTACTCAGAGCATTCGACCTAGAAAATTGGACTGAGTTCGATAAGAGAACATATAGCTAATAAACATTTTTGACAGATAATAAGTAAAAGTTAGAATCAGATCTAAAGTTTTTCTATGATCACTAATTCCCATAATATTTCTACTGATTATCTAGGTTGATAAAAATTCGGATAGTATATTTTCCGAAAATCCTTTTGTATTAACTGGCGAAGATTGGAAAGAAAGAAGAGCTGAAATAACTCCAGGTTTCACACAAAATCGAGTAAGACCAGACAAATGAAATAAAATTATAACTAAACAAGATAATAAAATATAACAATTTTAGATCAAAACAGTATTTCCGGTAACGAAAAAAGTGTGTAAAGTATTAACGGACTATATAGAAAAGGAAACCAAATTGGGACCCAAAGATGGTATTGATGGCAAAGATGTAAGTTTTAATACAAAAGTTAGCTTTAAAAGACTTTTATGAAATCTATATTTCATTCTCTTTATTACAGCTTAGTTTACGTTTCACCTGTGAAGTGGTTAGTGATTGTGTTTTGGGTTTACAGGCCAATAGTTTTACCGATAGTACAGCGCCCATTTTCGATAATGCCAAGAAATTGTTTGAACAATCTTTCATTTTAATATTGTACATGACTTTGGCTGGTTTAATACCCTCCTTAACAAAAATCAAAAAATTACGTTTTGTACCCAAACCCATAGAAGACTTTTTCGTAGATTTAATGAAAAACTCTCTGAGTATGAGAAAAGCTCAACGTGAAAAGGGTGTCAATGAGGATCGTGTTGATTTCATGAACTACATGTTGCAGTTGCAAGAGAAAAAGAATCTAACAATTACAGAAGTGACAGCGCATACCATGACATTTTTAGTGGATGGTTTTGAAACTACGGCCAGCGTATTATCGCACTGTTTATTGTTGGTATGTATTTTAGGGGGGAGATCGCTTAGTGTGAATATGATTTCAAATTAATAATCAAATGTGTTTTTTATATTTCCATATTTTATTATAATCACAGTTGGGTCGTCATACCGACAAACAAGAGAAATTACGTCAAGAAATTTTAGAAAAATTAGGTCATGATAGTGATTTTGACACCATTATGGATTTGGAATATTTGGATGCTTGTATACATGGTAAATTACAAAAAAAAATAAGACATTTTTGGGACAACAAGTAATACTTTTATATAATTTTTTATATAGAAACTCTGCGCCTTTTTTCCCCTGGCTCATATTCTACTAAGTTGTGCACTGAACCCATTGACTTGGTAAATAAAGATGGCAAATCTTTACATGTACCTGTGGGTGCCAGAGTAGTTTTGCCCATATATGCCATTATGACAGATGAGGAAAACTATAAGAATGCCGATGTTTTCGAACCGGAACGTTTTTTGAATGGTGGTTTGAAAATGTTTAAGGATAAAGGTCTTTTTTATGCATTTGGTGATGGACCACGAGTTTGCTTGGGTGAGAAAATTTCAGTTTCGAAATCGAAATTTAATTTTAAACAAAAAATCTTTTTTCTTTTTAATATTTTTAGGCCAGCGTTTCGCTTTAACCCAAATGAAAGCTGCCATGGTGGAAATTGTGCGTAAATATAAAATTCATGTGAATCCCAAGACTCGTAAAGATAATAAACTCGATCCCACATATTTCATTCTGCGCTTAGATGGTGGCATTTGGTTAGATTTTGAAAAGTTGTAATAGATTTTAAGTATTGTCATTATATACTCACAAAAGTAAAAGTTAAATTACAAATTACTTATTTAATTTTAATTTACAATAAAAAATTGTACATTTATTTAATGGGATACTTACATATCAGTGGGATATATGTATACATATGTATGTATGTATTTATACATACATATGTTAATTTAAATCAAACATTGTATTACTATTCAAGTTCTGGGTCATACACAATTTAATTAACCCCACAAGCTCAATTTTTCAGTTATGACAGTATTAGCAAAATGAGAGAGCGATAAGATCACTGTATGATAAAAGTTTGTTGTAAAAGCTCTTATAAAATGTATACCTGATCAGTGCATAAACTTTAAAGAAAGTTTGTTCAAAAAGCTTTATTTGAAATTTTACCTCAAAAAAAAAGTTACATTTAAAAATGCAACACCCTTAGGATTTTAATATATGAATTTGGGAAGGCCACAAATATATGGAGTCAGAACTTTCTGAATCGATACTTCTTAATGAGAGCTAGGGACTAACTAACTAACTAACTAACTAACTAACTAACTAACTAACTAACTAACTAACTAACTAACTAACTAACTAACTAACTAACTAACTAACTAACTAACTAACTAACTACTAACTAACTAACTAACTAACTAACTAACTAACTAACTAACTAACTAACTACTAACTAACTAACTAACTAACTAACTAACTAACTAACTAACTAACTAACTAACTAACTAACTAACTAACTAACTAACTAACTAACTAACTAACTAACTAACTAACTAACTAACTAACTACTAACTAACTAACTAACTAACTAACTAACTAACTAACTAACTAACTAACTAACTAACTAACTAACTAACTAACTAACTAACTAACTAACTAACTAACTAACTAACTAACTAACTAACTAACTAACTAACTAACTAACTAACTAAGTAACTAAGTAACTAAGTAACTAAGTAACTAACTAACTAACTAACTAACTAACTAACTAACTAACTAACTAACTAACTAACTAACTAACTAATTAACTAACTAACTATCTATCGACATGGAATCTATGTATATAAAAGAGTAGCGTTACTGACTGACTGATTCATTCGCACAGCCCAAACGACTGAACCTAGAATCATGAAATTTTGACAGTAGACGTGTTTTTTGGTTATGTAGATCCACTATGGAGGGATTTTTGGAAATTTGTACATTTAGGGTTAAAAAAAGGAGACTCCTGTTTCGTACTTTTTAAAATTTAGTCCTTTTTGGGTGTAAGGGAGAAAACTGTATTTTTGGTACTTTTTTTTTATCACATTAAGAAAACTTTTTGATTTATTGAAGTATTCCTATTAGATTACGGACTAACTCTGTAATATTTATTGAAACAAAATGGTTGTTTCCCAAAAAGGGGAAAAACGACAAATTTAATTTTATTCTCACATAAAATAAGCTATTGGTATATGGTTTTGGAATTCGAGTACTAAGGCCTATATAGGACCAGATTCGAGTAAATTGTTTGGTACCTTTTTGAAAGCAAACGGAACGGAACATTTTGTAAACTTAATTCTCAAAAAAGTATATTTCTAAGATAAAAGAGGAAAAATTGTACTATTTTGATTAGTACTTTCAATTAGGGTGGAATTTATTTCACCTTTGGTACTTTTTCTTTCTTCAAATGATACTCTGTATGTTTTATAATATGAATTCAAAACACATGATTATTAAAGATACACGGTCCTCATTGAATAAGATTCTTTAAGAGAGAACTTTTTAGTACCTTTTGGTTTCTCTATAATGGTTAACCGGAACACATGATACACGGTCCTTATTAAATGTTAATTTATTGAGAGAGATTTTTGTACTTTTTCGTTTTTCCGATATTTTTACGATATTGAACATAGAAATAAAAAATTTTAAATGTAGGGACCTTAGTGCATGAGAATCTACTGAAAGGGACTTTTGGTACTTTTGCATTCATCAAATTATATTTTTTGAATTGAACGTAAAAAACTAAAACAAAACTAATTTTAATTTTAATCAATTTTAATTTTCTATAAAAGTAAACAAAATTTTAATGTATTTAATTTTGGTTAGGGTAGCGAAGCACCCAGGGTATACTAGTAGTTCATATATTCATCAATTTTATATGGAATATACGTACATTGACTTATCTGTCAACGTATGCTTACTATATATTCCAGATACCCTAGGTTAGTTTTATGATTTCAATAAGAATTCTAATGTTTGTGCTTTTATCATTAAATAATAATTTAAAAAGCTTTTCTTTTTATTAACAACAAAACATCGTTTGTGGCAAACATTTCTTATTTAGAACTTTTATAATTTTTTTCACTAATATTTTAAAATTCAAACTTGTCGTTAAAAATGCTTACGAGTAGGTGTTTTTCTGATAGTGTTGAAATTAATTAACAATTAGTATTAATGTAAATGTTAATATTTTACTTTAGAGCCTACAAAAATACAGATTATTTTATTGGAGTCTTTAATAGCCGCTGCCCTCAATTAATGATTCTTAGTCCCGTAATGATGCGTCGAGTTTATGTGACAGATTTTAAACATTTTCATGATAATGAAGTTTCAACATTTGTAAGTATTTATTTATATATTTAAACACAAAGACAAATTTTGAAATAATTTTGAAAAAATTACTTCGTGTAGTCAAATTTTCCCCCTTTTTTGGACAGACATTATTTAAGTCTAAAAACCAAATTATAATCATTATAGTAATCAAATACATTTTCGTTGATGTTTGTTTCTATACCCAGCAAAAACTTAGAAAATATATTTTTAAATCATTATTTTAACACTGTGATGACATTGGAGGCAAAGTACTTACCACGCTCGCTTACGAATATGGAGTTAGGTAAGTACTTATTGCGAACGACTGCAAATAAGTAGTTAAATTATGTAAATTGTTTAGTTTTTGTAAAAAACTACATTCAATAACTATATACTTAAGTATATAGTTATTTGTACGTCATTAATAGACTGCTTCTAAGTAATGTAGGCGGTATGTATTAGTCATAGTTCATTATCATGTTTTTGCTGGGTATTTGTTTATTAAATTTACCAAAAACACTATAACACTGTTGCTTTATAAAGACCGGCGTTTATTTATTTATTAAAACATCTATTCTTAAATCAAATAAAATATTATCATTTTGTAACAACGTAGTTTTCTTACTTTGTATAACAAATTAAAAATTCATTTAATTTTATTATACAGTAGAATATTAATTATTTAAAACAAAACTTATAATATAAAAGAAAACAAACAATTATTAATGATCTAATAGTTTGGAGTAGTGATTCTTAAATGGGTTTTTGGGAAATCTGTATACAAAATGGGAAATTATTAAGATGACAATTTTAATTTTCTTATCAATTCTGAAACATTAAAAAGTATTTTTTTTTAAATTGTAATCTTGTTTAAAAATTAAGTCTTGTCAGATAATAGCTATTGATAGTAACAAATTTCTAAACGATGTTAGCCTATTCGGCTTGACTGAGGTTTATAAATTGTGATCGATTTCAATAAATCTTTTTTTAAGTTTTACAATCACGTTGTGTTTTGTTTCTTATTATAAACAATTTTTAACCGGTTATTAGAAATTTTCATTTAAGAAAATTATACACTTGAAAACAAACCTATTGTTATTATAGACGGATAAACATACATTTACATATTTGGCTTGTGTCTAAATCAGTGATCGGCACACAGAGAACAATGACCTTTTACTTTCTACAATGCACAGTGTCACATTTAGTACATTCTGGTACCACAAAAGTCTAATTTTAGAAGTATAGCCTTCATATTAGATATGTTCTTCTGGACTTTTAAGTTTTCACCCAAAATATCAAATTTTGGTAGGAAATTAAAGTGATCACAGATTTTCATTGTTTTTGCTCTAGCGCCTCGAGTTTAGCTAGAAAATGGACTTTTATGTTTTCTCTTAAAAAATCGATTTTTGGTGGTAAATGATTGTGATCACAGATTTTCTTTCTGTTTGACCTAGCGGCTCTAGTTTAGCCAGAAAATGGACTTTTATGTTTTCACTCAAAAAATCAATATTTGGTAGGAAATTAAAATGATCACAGATTTTCTTTATTTTTGCCCTATCGCCTCTAGTTTAGCCAGAAAATGGACTTTTATGTTTTCACTCAAAAAATCGATTTTTGGTGGGAAATTAAAATGATCACAGATTTTCTTTCTTTTTGCCTTAGCGCCTCTAGTTTAGCCAGAAAATGGACTTTTATGTTTTCACTAAAAAAATTGATATTTGGTGGTATATGATAGTGATCACAGATTTTCTTTCTTTTTGCTCTAGCGCCTCTAGTTTAGCCAGAAAATTGACTTTTATGTTTTCACTCAAAAAATCGGTTTTTGATAATAAAGGATAGTGATCAAAGATTTTCTTTCTTTTTGCCCTAGTGCCTCTAGTTTAGCCAGAAAATGGACTTTTATGTTTTCACTCAAAAAATTGGTTTTTGTTGGTAAAGGATAGTGATCAAAGATTTTCTTTCTTTTTGCTCTAGCGCCTCTAGTTTAGCCAGAAAATTGACTTTTATGTTTTCACTCAAAAAATCGGTTTTTGATGGTAAATTATAGTGATCACAGATTTTCTTTCCTTTTGCCCTAGTGCCCCTAGTTTAGCTAGAAAATGGACTTTTATGTTTTCACTAAAAAATCGATTTTTGGTGATAAATGATTGTGATCATAGATTTTCTTTCTTTTTGCCCTAGCGCCTCCAGTTTAGCCAGAAAATGGACTTTTATGTTTTCACTCAAAAAATCGATATTTGGTGGGAAATTAAAATGATCACAGATTTTCTTTCTTTTTGCCTTAGAGCCTCTAGTTTAGCCAGAAAATGGACTTTTATGTTTTCACTCAAAAAATCGATATTTGGTGGGAAATTAAAATGATCACAGATTTTCTTTCTTTTTGCCCTATCGCCTCTAGTTTAGCCAGAAAATGGACTTTTATGTTTTCACTCAAAAAATCGATTTTTGGTGGGAAATTAAAATGATCACAGATTTTCTTTCTTTTTGCCTTAGCGCCTCTAGTTAGCCAGAAAATGGACTTTTATGTTTTCACTAAAAAAATTGATATTTGGTGGTAAATGATAGTGATCACAGATTTTCTTTCTTTTTGCTCTAGCGCCTCTAGTTTAGCCAGAAAATTGACTTTTATGTTTTCACTCAAAAAATCGGTTTTTGATGGTAAAGTAAAATGATCACAGATTTTCTTTCTTCTTGCCGCTGCGCCTCTAGTTTAGCCAGAAAATGGACTTTTATGTTTTCACTCAAAAAATCGATTTTTGGTAGGAAAGTAAAATGATCACAGATTTTCTTTCTTCTTGCCGCTGCGCCTCTAGTTTAGTCAGAAAATGGACTTTTATGTTTTCACTCAAAAAATCGGTTTTTTGCCTCTAGTTTGGCCAGAAAATGGACTTCTATGTTTTCACTCAAAAAATCGATTTTTGGTGGTAAATTATAGTGATCACAGATTTTCTTTCTTTTTGCCCTAGTGCCCCTAGTTTAGCCAGAAAATGGACTTATATGTTTTCAATCAAAACACTAGTAGTCAATAGGCTACTCCATAGACTAGATCATAGACTGGTCAACATACTAGCCAGTAGAGTCTATAGTAATCTAAAGACTAGTCAACAGACTAGAAGATAGACTGGTTCATAGACTAGAAAATAGTAGCCAAAAAACTCAATAGATTAGTCAACAAACAATAGGGTAGTGCAAAAAGTGGACTAGTCAATATACTAGGAAATAGTAGCGAATAAATTAGTCAATAGACTAGTCCATAGACTAGACCATAGACTAGTCAATAGGATAGTCCATAGACTAGACATACTAGCCAATAGAATCTATAGAAGTCTATATACTAGTGAACATACTAGTAAATATACTGCTACATACTGCCAGTCAATAGATAACTCAATAGACTGGCAGGTATACTAGTCTGTAGTAATTTTTTTCACCACTACTTGCAGTGCACCGAATATTAATCGGTTATAAATACAGACAAAACGAACGCCAATATAACTCTGATCTGGCTAGTGTTACTTCTATGATATCGTAACCGCTTAAATACCGTTACTATAATAGGCCTAAATAATGTTACCGTTTAAATATCGTTAAATTCTTCCAAACCTTTGCCAATACTTTATAAACCTTTAAAATCTTATCTCTTATTGATTGACTCTATTTTAAAGTTTGATTTCTCTCGTTCCCTGGTGATTACAGCAGCCCATCAATGATATAAATTGCTTATAATTTTATATTAAAAAAAGTTAATTTTAGTCTTCTATTAAAAGTGATATAAAAAATATTATGCACTTGAAATTTATTTAAAAACATTTTAATGGAAAGCAAAAAAATACATATTGTATAGTGAAACTATACTCAGGCAATTTTTCCATTTGCTCTAATCGTGATGAAGGTCAAGGCCCATTAATATTTTAAGTGGAAACTTTCATAAATTAGCAGAACGCATTTTATTTAAAGTATTTTTACACTTTCTTTTTTAGATTGATGAAAAATCTGATAAAATTTTATCCAACAATCCATTCGTTTTAAGTGGCGAACAATGGAAGGAAAGAAGAGCTGAAGTAACGCCCGGATTAACACACAATAGGGTGAGGTTTTCAAAAGATTTTTATAACGATTTGACGAATTAATTATCAATTTTTAAAATTTCAGATTAAAACCGTATTTCCCGTTACTAATAAAGTCTGCAAAACTATGTTGGATTATATAGCTAAACAAAGCAAAATGGGTGATGGAATCGAGGCCAAAGATGTAAGTAATTAGAATGAATAAATCCAACATTTTAAACCAAAAATTTGATGTACCATTTACAGTTAAGTTTGCGTTATACCTGCGAAGTGGTTACCGATTGTGTTTTGGGACTTCAAGCCAATACTTTTACCGATGACCCCACACCCATTTTTGATAACACCAAAAAATTGTTCGATCAATCATTTATTTTAATTCTCTACATGACTTTAGTGGGTTTAATACCTTCTCTAGCCAAAATTAAGAAATTACGTTTTGTACCCAAACCCATAGAAACATTTTTCATTGGTTTAATGGAAAGCTCTTTGAGTTTGAGAAAATCTCAGCGTGAGCAGGGTGTTAATGAAGATCGTGTTGATTTCATAAATTACATGTTACATTTGCAAGAGAAGAAGAATCTAACTTTGCCAGAATTGACAAGTCATACTATGACATTTCTATTAGATGGTTTCGATACTACGGCCAATGCCTTGTCACATTGTTTATTTTTGGTAAGTTTTAAGGGTCATTCACAACGATATTTTAATAATTTTATTATTTTTATAGCTTGCTCGTTACCCTGAGAAACAGGAAAAGTTACGTAAAGAAATTTTAGAAAACTTGGACCAAAAGATTAATGATTATGAAACAATTATGGGTCTGGAATATTTAGATGCTTGTATACATGGTAAAATATACTCAATAAGCGGAAATAATTGATTTCCATTTAAAATTATACTTTTTACTTTTCCACAGAAACCGTACGTATGTTCCCTCCCGGTTCACATTCATCAAAAATGTGTACTCAACCTATTGATTTGGTGAATAAAAATGGTCGCACTCTACATGTTCCTGTGGGCACCCGTGTCATTTTGCCCGTATATGCTGTGATGAATGATGAAGATTATTATAAAAATGCTGATTCTTTCGAACCCGAACGTTTTATGGATGGTGGTTTGAAAACCCTAAAGGACAAGGGTCTCTTTTTCGGTTTCGGTGATGGTCCAAGAGCTTGTTTAGGTTGGCACAACTTTAACAAAATTTTAGTATTTTATTTAAATTATTAAATCTATTTTCTAGGCATGCGTTTTGCTTTAACCCAAATCAAAGGCGCTTTGGTGGAAATTTTACGCAACTACAAGATCACCGTAAATCCTAAAACCCCAAAAAACAATAAATTGAATCCTACATATTTTGCCTTGATATTAGATGGTGGTATATGGTTAAATTTTGAAAAGATCCATTAAAATTATATATATATAAAATAATCCTCAATAAATTCTAAATTTAACTAATGCAAAAATTTTATAAATGTTGGTTTGTAGTAAAGAAATATTAACATTATCTGTTCTCTTTCATCATAATAAATATTATAATTTTTTATTATTAAATGTGTTGTCTTTTTATTATTATTTTTTTTTTTTTTGTACAACATTGAAGCTTTCTTATCGTCTAAATAAGGTAACATTTAGCCTGGCAGTTCAATTATATTTAGTTGTGAAATTTAAATTGCAGCCAACAAAATTATTAATATTAAAAAGCAATTAGGAAAGTTTAGACGGAAATGTTAGGCATTAGGAAACCCTACCCCAACTGTGAATATATTTGTAGTATTTATCAGAATGTGGATCATTATACATATGGTCGTTCTAAAATATTTGCAACATGTAACGTACCTCTCTAATTTCAATATGTATTAGTTATGATCTCTTTCATTCATTCCGGTAACATTCACCCCATAAGAACTATTATTCACCTTTTAAGTCCAAGACGAAAGATCTTGACAGAGTGTGAGGCAAAACTTCTCGCTTCAAATGAATTGCTTTCATTCCATAAAGGTTCCCTATTATGGTCTGTCCAGATTTCAGCAGCTCATAATAGACAGAATCCTTTTAGTCCCACCAAATGCAGAGCATTTTTATTTGCTTAGATGTCGATTGGTTGGACTTCACATACGATATTCGCATCGTATAGTCGTTATGGATCAATTTTTTCTAGCAAATAATATAAAGTTCAAACAACATTTTGAACATGCTAATTCATCTTTCAAGGTCTCTAAGCTCTAATTCGTAAGGTATCTAATGTCCCTCTTTTTAATGAATCCTACTGCTCGCAAACATTTTGAAATTTCATCTAAAGTCGCTCCCAATAACATTCATGCCTCCAATTCCTGGCGTGGCACTTCCATATAAAGTTAATACAAAAATAAACTAGTTTAATAGTATAAGAGACTAGATAGTAAACTAATCAATAGAGTAGCCCATAATAGACTACTCCATATACTAATAAGTTGGCTAGTCTACTTATTAGTCTATGGAGAATAAGAATAATCAATAGACTAGACCACCCAATAATATTATAAAAATATTAGTCAGTAGACTGGTCAGTAGCCTAGTCAATAGCCGACATAATAGTATATTCTAAAAACAAGTCAATACACTATTCCATTAGAGTAATCAATACCAATAGAGTAATCAATAGACTATACATTAGACTGTATAGTCATTAGACTAGTCCAGGGCCTAGCCGATAGTATCATCAACAGAATGTATGCTATTACGAGTATAGCTTTACTTAGGTCCAATTAGGTCCCTTTGTAATGGTCCATTTGGAAACCATAAGAACTCAAATTTTGTGATCTATCACTATGAATATGAAGAAAAGTTGAGGAACTATCAATAGTGGGCGTGGCGCCTATAATACAACTTGGAAACTAAAGCAGATAAAGTTTTCAAAAGTCAAATCTTTATGTCAAAATAGAACAGACAAACAATAGTGAGCGTGGCCCCTTCTAAAATACTAAAATTGGCATATTTGGAAAACTATTAGAGCTAGATTCCTCAAATTTTTCAAGAAGTAATGAAAGTGGTTCTTCCCATAATGAGAAAAATGTGGAAAATGTCTTATATTAGGGCTACCATAACAAGAACAATCTTCATATTTTTAACAAGAACTTTACAGTCTGTGTGAATTTTTGGGAAAGTAAGGATCAGACTAACAAATATGATCCTCGAAGTAATTCTGAGTCGATTGGTATGCTTAAGAGTAGCTAGCCAGTATTTTTTTTGTGTTACAAAAATAAGCACAATCGTACAATACCTACGCTAGTAGTGTAGGGCAGGGGTCGGCAAACTTTTGAGTCGGAAGAGCCAAAATTTACAGTTTACAAAACATATGTTTTAAAAGAGCCACAACATTTTTGTTTATTAAAACGTTACAAATCTTCATATGAAATCCAAAAAGCCATAAGTTACAAAAAAATCAAAATCGACTTTTTTATTGATTATGACGCACCGTATCAAAATACATGTTCCTGCTAAATTTTACACTCCTACAATTAAAATCAGTGTCCCTATCAAAGAAATTCTAAAAGGTTATGTTCTAAAATTACCTTAAATTTCATGAAAATTTTAAATTTTTAACTTCGAAACTGTGAAATGTTTTAAATTGGCATCAAATAAAACAAAAATGGCACTTTTAGCGAATCCTTGTAATATAGAGATTATTTTAACAGTTTTAGAATTTTTTCAATGAAAAATTCCAATTTCCGAAAATCTTTATGAAAACAAAGAAGCCTTATGACTTCCATGTTTCGGACTATTTGACCAACAAAACCCCGATTTGAATTTAGTAGAAAATGTTAAAACTTATTATTTTTAATGTAACTTACGCCCTTTTGGGTTTCAGAAAAAAATTCTCAAGGGCGTAAGTTTCATATCTCCGTAAGCAAAACAACGGTTTTTTGTTTCTCCTAAAAAATTTGTTCAATGTAACTTAGGACTTTTTGGATTTCATAAGACGAAATACTTTATGAATTCACTTCAAAAACATAATTTTTTATTTAATTATCTACAGGACATTCTGCAAGGAATCTTTCTTATAGATTTTTGACTACAAATACTTTTTGAATTTTTATGTGTCATTCGAATACATTTTTTAATAATATAGAAGTTTATTAGAGTAGGGCGACAGTGTTATAATTTAAAAGGCTTTTCAAAGTATATCAGGAAATGTAAAAATAACGAAAATTGATGACGCAGCTAATACAGCATAAATAATATATTAATTTGGCGGCAATCAAGATAAAGTTTTTTATGCATACAGAAATTATATTGTGATGTATTGCGGACATCGAACCATATTTTACCAACCCCAATATAAGGTCCTTTTCAGAAAATGACTAACGATCATAATTGACTTAACAGTAGCAATATTTCAACGAAATTGAAAATAAACAACTTTAATAAGAACCAATATCTATCTTCCAAATTTGATTTTAACGTTCATAACTGTCTTAATAATAGCTGTATTATGACGAAATTGAACACAAACAAGAACAAAAATCTCTTTACCAAATTTGGTGTCTATCGACTCATAATTGATCCTACCACCATATAAGATCACCACTAGAAAATTACCCCTATCGCTCTTAAGTGACTTAATAATAGCAGTAAGCGACGAAATTTGACACAAACAAGTTTTATAAGAACAAAATTTCTCGACCAAATTTTAAGAGGATCCGAACATAATTGACCAATCCCCTTTTATGAGGTCTACATCGGAAAATGACTCTAACGCTCATAACTGATTTAATAATACATATTAGTATAGCGACGCAATTCGACACAAACAAGTATTACAGGAAGAAAAATCGCTCTCCAAAATTTTTTAATGATCAGTTCATTGTTGACCATACCCGCATATAAATTCTTCTTCAGAAAATTACTTTAACGCTCATAACAGGCTTAATAATACAAGCATAGTTGTGAAATTCGTCATAAACAAATTTATAAAAACAAAAATATCTGTACCAAATTTAATAAGATGGGCTCCGAATTGATACTACCAACCAACACCCAATATTGAAGTTTTCAAATAGACCAAGTTTTTAGTATTTAACTGTATCCAAACTCTCCACATTATTAATTAATTAATTAATTACGATACTTTCAATTTCCAAAAAATATTCGAAAAACATTTCGAAATGTACGATCATGAGTTACATCTTATCTAATGGCACTTCGTAGGAGAGCTCATGATGCCCCATTCGTTTATAGTGAACTTTTCAATTAAAAATTTAAAGAATTAAACATTTTCTTACAATACTAACTTATACATGGAACAAATTCAGTGGGAGAGATAGGTTTGTATGGCTTTAGAAAGTTTCACAAACGACTCTAAACATTCATTTGTTAGTTGGCTTTTTACCTAACTCTATCAACTGGCTTTTAAACTTTGACAACTTTCCATAACCAAAGCTTTACTTTTTAAATTGATCAACTGAATTTCTAGAAATCCAGGACCAATTCCAAATGGCACAATGGTAAATAAAAGCAAGGAAATGACTGAAAACTAATTGTTTTGTTTTCGTTCTTTCTCGCCCAAAAAGAATTTGCTTTATTTGCTTACGTACAAAACGATTAAACAAAGATGAAAAGTTGTGTATATTGTAGAAACGTTTGCGAATTGTTTTGTTAGTTTTAACAAACACTGCTCGTTAATCGATTCAGAAAGATTTTAAAATATATAAATATTTGTTTCTAAAATAAGAAAGTGTTTATGAAACTAAAGAGCCACAGCTCCACATCCAAAGAGCCGCATTTGGCTCGCGAGCCGTAGTTTGCCGACCCCTGGTGTAGGGTATTAAAATAGAAATATTAACATATGAACACAATTTGATAAGAGTTTTATCTCCTTGTTTTTATTTGGGCTACAGGTTGAACTCTATACTCCTAAAATATGATGCAATATTAAATATCATTTAATAGTAGTTATGTTTAAGTACCTAAAGAAAGTATTTCTTATCTTAACTACTGATTTCAACCACACTTCAGCGTATACCAACAAATGTTAATGTATTACAATGAGATAATTTGTTTATAAACAAAAACAAACATTTTATTGCAATTTCACTTTAATAAAATACCTGACGACGAAATTTTTTCCATTTGCAGAAAATTTTCGTTTAATTTTTAAAATATATTTTTTCCATAAAAAAATATATATTTCAAATAAATAAATAAACATTTCCGAAAATAGGGTACAAAAACTAGCGGGTTATTATATAAAAAAAAAATACATAATTAAAATATTTAAGAAAATATTCATTCATACTGATTGAGCAAACACGAAATATTCAGAGATAAAAATGATTAAAATATATAAAATGCAAATTTATTATGTTTTGTTGTTGCTGAGAGCAGATATCAATAAATTATAAATAGTTATGGTAAATTTTAGCTTAAAGCGCCAAATTTACCAGTTTTATTGTTTTAAATAAAAAAACTTAAAATCGTAAACTTTATCGTAAATTATTAAAATCAATGAAAATAAGAAAATTCGGAAAATTGATTTTAAATGCAACTATAATTTGATTGTAAACACGGACTTA